TTAGTTTGCCCTATCTGTGGGTTTCAGTCTACATCTCATTCCTGGTGACTTCCCACCATTTTCCCCAGCCAGCTAACACAAAGTGCAATTCACTGTCTCTACATGTAGACAATGACTACATAAACCTCAGGAAACCCTTCTTATTACTCATGTGTCCCCTTTTAACAAAGAAATAGCTTCTACCATCAAGGTGACTGACTAGAACAGATAAATCCTCTTCAAGATTCCTAGTAATGAACCATGATATGAGAAGATACAGCATGTCAGTTGCCTGACTTCTGGAGCAGTAAGATGCTGGCTTAACATAAGGAATAGCTACCAAATATCCTGATCTGCCCAAGAACACGCCAGGATGACACTCAGCAATAACTAAGATCCTATGCCCGTTTTCAGTACAGATCTTCCTCATTGACTGCCCTCTATGTGGTACCTACCAGCCACTGCACTCCTCTTTGGGATGCCCTCATTAAACCTGTGATGCGCCTGATCTAACAAAAAAGCAGAAAAAATTGCCATTGAACCATTAATTTTACAATAGAACCCGGCAGGTTTTTCTCCATTTAAAATTAGAAACAAAATTTATAATGACATATCTACTATTCAGTTGTCCTTTTGAAAGAAAAATATAACAATTTTAAATTAAAATCTTACAGTCTTACAGTGAAAAACCTTTTTAGCAATACCATCAAAATGGTTTGCTCTTCCATATACTTATCAGCAGCAGATTGTATTTATCATTTACAATCATTGAATTGTATTACATGATTGTATTGGATTGTATTACATGATTGGATTAATCTCTAAGTATTTTTTCTTTCTTAAATAACTTATATATTAATAAAATATCATTATTCTTATTAAGGATAGTATTCTCAAATATTTCTTTGCTGTTAAAAAATCTGGGATTACAAGTGAAAACTTACAAATATTAAAGACTTAGAAATAATAGGCTTTACATTTGCTTTGCCTGAAGTTTTTGTCTTTTTTGTGCTTTAGTACCTGACTAAATTTTAACAGTAGAAGAGAATAACCTTCTAGAGAGCAGACAGACCTCACCGCAGTGGATCAAATGTAAACCTGTGTGGTTAAAAATATTCACTTAATGTATTTTTTCTGTGTCCCTCACTAGCTGGCTTTTTCAAAAAAAAAAAACAAGTAGTCTGCCTGTGGTAGGAAGAAAAAAAAAAGCAAATGGGCAAATCAGGAAAAGAGGGATGCCCTTTCTTCTTCCCCAGTCAGAAAGCAGCCTGTTTGACTTCATAAGCAGGTCAGAAGAAAATCTGTTTTATAATCATAGGTAGTCATAAAGCAGCCAGTGATTCCCAGCAGTGACTCCACAGTCTGCTTTTACCTTGTCAGAAACTGAAGAAAGATGTGTCATCACACAACCGGTGCTGGTCAGGGTCATGCGCAGTTAGATATACACAAGGCATATAAGCAAATAGTACTTTCTGCAAAACTGTGTATGACAAATTACGCTACTTAAAGCTGAGGATTTACTGCTGGGATTCTTCTCTTTGAAAGAACCAATAAACAAAGTAATCTTAATTACATTCTATGAACTGGGAAGAAATGGATTAACAAAATATAAGATTTTCACATGGAAGCACATGGAGCTTTTTCACTATATCAAGTGTTTCTCTTTCCCCTTAGATAAATTTCCTTGTTTTTTTATTAAATACATAAAAGTAAGTTTTTGTTCACCACTTGTGTACTCATTAGATGCTTATTGGATGCATTGTAATTAAGGGGAATTTTGAAACAGTTTTGCAGGAACAAAGCAAGTGGCTTCATATTTTATGATCAAGATGGTCCCCCAGCTACAAAAGACAGCATGGGAGAAACAATAAAGGTATCTATTAGGCATGTAAGAGCAATGTTGTTAGCTAGCAACTTAGTGAATATCAGGAGGACTGAGATTAAACAGCAAGGAGAAAAGATGGTACATGGCATTGTAAAGGGAATTCAAAGGGAAGGAATGACAGGATCAGAGAAGGAGTCATAAATTCTTTTGACAACTTCAAAGCAAGCAGAGTTGAGGGGAGGAGCTGTATGCACAAGCTTTCATTTTATTGCATTGTATAAATTTTCACAGTCTTTTCCAGTTATGCCCTACTTATTTTCTATCTGTAAATGCATTACCAGCCTGGAGATCCCAATTACTGTGGGAATTGCAGAGGTCTCGATTACTAAGGAAACTTGTTAAAATTACTTTTCTACACACATATCTATGATGTTGAGACACTTTAGTCCCCGAGCAGAGTGGAAGCCTGAGGTTGGAAATAGTGAAAATCACAGTGTTTGCAGGATTCAGACCAATCACATGCAAATATATTATCATGCTTATAATGATCATCAATTCCCTTAATTATCTTGGAGGAAGAAAGATACATGAGGTGTGTTCTTCAAGACATTAGATCGGCTAGCAAAAGAGATGATAGGTGCTTTTTCTTCACTCTTTTGAAGGTGGAAGGAGGGGTTGGGAAAGATAATGATCATGCTTCCTTTCCCTGTTCTGTTTTTCAAAAAATTTGGAGAAAATTATATTAATACAATATCCTGGTTTCTGTTCAGATTATTACTTATGTTTTAAACAATAGATGTTAAATTGAGTTTTTTGGGGCAAGTACAAGAAGGTAGAATGTATTCTACATTATTTTAATGTTGTTGAATAAAGAATGTATGATTTATGCTGAAATAGACAAAATGATACTGGTCAGACTCCCTCATGTGGCTGTCCATGTCTGCACTGATGTCTCAGATATCTGTGCTGCTGTCCAGTTTTCTGGCAAATATAGCCCAGGGAGCAGAACTGAGATAAGAAATCTGTAACTTTGCATTTTCATATCTAATGGTTGTAGATTTGTCTCTAAGAGCAGTAATGAAATAGAAAAGCTTCCTGATGGCAAAATGGATAAAGAAGAAAAAAAGGGAGAAACCAGAAATGAGTCATACATTTGTTTTGAAATTTATAGATACAGCAATATACATATGTATATAAGCATGTCTACATATATGCCTATATTAAATATGTACAATTAGCTGGGCAGTTGCTTAGAATAAGATGCAATGAGTGGTAGGGTTTTAGGGGAAAATTCCAGTATAGAATTCACAGAGGAAGTTTGGATAACAGCAATAAACTTAGTGGAAGAATTTACATTAGTCTTATGTTTCTTAAACTGTGGACAAAATAAAAAAAGAACATTCAGCATTAAAAGACCTTGTTCAGTGAGTACAGAACAAGAAACTAAGTGTAGTTCTTCATATTTTGTTTACCTACAGACAGTGGCTAATTTTATTCATGTGTCAGTGGTGCTTCAAACCGAGCTTGGCATTGGTTAAACATGTGACTCAGCCTGACACTCACAGACTGAATCCTATGGTCTAGGAGAGCATGGTCATCCCCGTTTGATGAGACACAGTGTTCTTTCTAGTTCTTGTCTTTCCTATGTTGGCAGAAATGTAAAAGTTGGCAAGCATTCACATCTAAGTTATACCAACTGATAAAAACGACAGAGTAATTGGCCTGAACTGTTGTTACTCAAAAGTTTTAAATCTTTTATATCTGAAAATTTAATAGAATTTTTTTACATTGAATTTTTACCGTAATGAGACTAAAATTACTTCCACATTCTTTGCACTGAGAAACACAAAGGCAATTTTATTGCCATTCTTGACTTTCAGTGCTGGATCAATTACGCTGTATAGAATCATAGAGTCATTTATGTTGGAAAAGACCTCTAAGACAAGACCTCAAGTCAGCTGTTAACTGCCACTGCCAAGTCCACCACTAAGCCATGGCCCTAAGTGACACATTTACACATCTTTTAAATACTTCCAGAGATGGTGACTCAATCCCTTCCCTGGGCAGCCTATTCCAGTGCTTGACTACCTTTTCTGTGAAGAAATTTTTCCTGATATCCAATCTATATCTTCCCTGGCCCAACCTTTTAATCAATATTTTTAGTCAATATGTCCATAAATAGGATTAAATTTACCTTTCTGTTCATGTAAATAGCATTTTTAGACTTGTTTTTCCACTGGTGGAAAAAAGGACTATGTGTTAAGAAACACAGCTGTCTCCGGCTAATTTTAAGAGGCTAATATGGATAACTTTAACAATCAATTGATAAACTCAGTGTTGCAATTCTTTGTCACAACATACAAGTATGACAAATATTTCTACTTCTAAACCTTTGGTTGTCTTGGTGGAACATAAATTAAATACACCATAAACTTCCAAAAGTTATGCTGACTTCTTTATCAGTATCAGAACATGTAACGCTTAGGAACCAAAAAAGTATTATAATAGCAATGTATTCTGGCTGGATAAGAGACTGGAAAAAATATCATTAGTAGAGAAATATATATATATTTATAGAAAATCTGTACTAACTTTACAAGCATGATATAATGGTTTAAATGATAGCAGAATGTGATGACAGATGAGTGTGTTAAATATGACAGGGATACCATATGTCTTTAATTCATTCTGTTAACATCTTTTCATGATCTTACTTGGTAAATTGCAATTTAAAAAAAAAATTAAAATATGATGCATAATTGCCAAAATATTTCTATTACTTTTGTTGGGTTTTCCAGTCAGTGCTTCAGATTGCAGTCTGAAAATCACTTTATAAATTGGAAGCTTTAATTTTGAAGAGAAGATTATACTACACAACTAAATGAGTCTCTTAAATAAAAACAGAGAAATAAGTTTTGGCAGTAACTGTATAAGTGAAATGTGCACATGACATCTTCTTCCTATTTTTCTTTTAATAGCTGTGGCAGCATGGTTTTTTCAGGTACACTGAGCATATGGATGTATCTCTTCCACATGCTTAAGAGAATATAAGCCTATTTTCTTTTATGTTTAGAGTGGAAACATACTGAAATCAGTTTGAAAATCATGTTTAACTCACTGTTCTAATAATTCCATAAGCTCATTGCAGACAGTATAAAACATACTGATTTGTCAGCCTTCATGAATGGTGACTTACTGCGAATGGAAGAGCATGCTGATCCACATTCAGATGCACCTAATTTCCCTTCAGTCTCCAAACTTCATATGAGAGATGAGCTGGGCCCTGCTGAAAATCAATACAGGATGACCTGGAAAGAGATCAGACAGACATCGTGCTAAGGATTTCTTACCAGCTTTCACTGCAGGAGCCATAGGAAATTATGATGCAAAAGTAGCAAACATATATAAAATATTTCACTGTTATGAACAAACATTAGCAGTAGTTGGGCCAGATTATCAAACTGATCCTTTCCAAAAACTCCACAGGATAGTTTTTTCAGATGTCCTTCCTCTGTTCTCTCTTTCATGCAAAATGCCTGTTCTCTGGCCTTGTCAAAGTAAAGTAAAGGACTCTTAACACACTGCCACTGAGCAGCTCTGCTGAGCAGCTGCACAATGGTAAGAGCCAGACCCGTGGCTTAAATTTTGAACCTCTTAGTTATTTCAAGGTGAATTTTATGTGCAGTTAGGAATATTATTACATTATATAAGATTTTTCACATGAGACTTTTATCAAAATATTGTGATACCTCCCTAACATGTAAAAAGAAAGCAGAAGTGGATTGCAGCATGCCATTTGGAAATTCCCAAATGTCTTAAGACAAGCAGGCAAGACAGAAGGCTGGCCTGGCTGAACAGGAATTTTCTCCTGGAAATAAAGCAAAAAAGGAAGGTGAATGCCCAGTGGAAGCAAGGACAAGTGACATGGAAAGAATACATAGAAGCTGCTTGCCACTTGTAGAGAGAAAATTCATGTAGCCAAAGCTTAGCTGGAGTTGAAGCTGGACAGAAATGTGGGGGACAATAAAAACAACATTTTCAAATATATTAATGGCAATAGGCAGGATAGAAATATCATCAGTCTATTACCGGATGAAGACGGTCACCACACAAACAGGGCCAGAGACAAGGCAGAGGTGTTTAATGCTTTCTTTGCCTCTTTCTTCAACATGGATGATGAACCAAGAGGGTCTCAGTGCCCTAAGCTGGAAGACCATAACTGCGAGAATGATCCACTCCCAGCCGACCTGAACTTGTGCAGGATCTGCTGCTCCAGCTGGATTCCTACAGATTCCTACAAATCTATGGGATTCATCCGAGAATCCTCAAAGAGCTGGCTGATGTAATTTACAAAGCCTCTCTCTTGATTTAATTTGAAGTGGTCTTGGAAATCCAGAGAGGTCCCAGCTGACTGGAAGCTGGCAAACCTTGTCCCAATTTTCAAGAAGACCAAGAAGGAGGATCCAGAAACTGCAAGCCTGTCAGTCTCCCTTCAGTGCCTGGTTAGCTATGGAGAAGATAATTCTGGGAGGTACTGAAAAACAGCTGGAGGACAATGCAGTCATTGGTCACAGCCAGCTTTGCTTCTCAAGAGGAAAGTCCTGCTCATCAAGCCTGATTTCCTTCTATGACAAGGTAACCCATCTAGTTAAGGGTTAGGGAAGCCTAACCCAACGTCAAGGGAAGCCTGTTGATGTAATCTTTTTGGATTTCAGTAAAGTTTTCAATACTGCCTCTCACAGGATCCTTCTACACAAACTGTCCAGCACACAGCTGGATAAACACATCATGTGGCGGGTGAGCAATTGGCTCACGGGTTGAGCACAGAGGGTAATAGTGAGTGAGGTAACATCAGACTGGTGACCTGTCACTAGTTGGGTTCCACAGGGCTCCATCTTGGGCCCTGTGCTCTTCAACATCATAAGTGACTTGAGCATAGGACTAGAAGGGATACTAAGCAAGTTTGCAGATGACACAAAACTGTGAGGAGCTGTTGACTCCCTCAAAGGCAGGGAGGCCCTGCAGAGAGACCTCGACAAATTAGACTGGGCAATCACCAACCATATGAAGTTCAACCAGTGAAAGTGCCAGATTCTGCACCTGGGGTGGGGCAACCCTGGATGTACGTACAGACTCTGGAATGAGATGCTAGAAAGCAGTACCATGGAAAGCTGGAAAGCAGTACCTAGGGGTCCTGGTCATTGGCAAGTTGAATATGAGCCACCTGGCTCCCTGACAGCCAGGAGGGCCAATCAGTTCCAGGGGAGCATCAGTCAAAGCATCGCCAGCCAGTCGACGGAAGTGATTGTCCTGCTCTGCTCTGCACTGGTGTGGCCTCACCTTGAATATTGTGTGCAGTTTTGGGCACCACAATATAAGAAAGATATTAAGCTATTAGAGAGTGTCCAAAGGAGAGTAACAAAGATGGCAAAGGGCCTTGAGGGGAAGCCTTATGAAGAGCTGCTGAGGTCACTTGTTCTGTTCGGCCTGGAGAAGAAGAGACTAAGGGGAGATCTCGTTGCAGTCTACAACTTCCTTGTGATGGTAAGAAGAGGGGCAGGTACTGATCTCTTCTCTGTGATGATCGGTGAACAATGCTCTCAGGCACATGGTGTGATTTTTGGGGATGGTCCTCCATGGTCCAACCCTTAGGTTGGACGTGATGATCTTTGTGGGTCCCTTCCAACTCAGCATATACTGAGATTCTGTATTTAGGATCAGAAAAGTGTCTGCCTGCCACTCACAACACACATTTTCAGTAGTTTTTGTCAAGTTTTGGTCTTCAGTTTTTCTACCATTCATAGAATAGCCGCATGGAAAACAGACACAAAATGATACTACTGAAAAATAATATTCCAGAACAAATGTGGAATGATTCTGTTATAATTTTTGCTACCTACATAGAGGGAGAACCTAGTATGCCTGAAGAATCACTAGAGCATTTAATTTGATAATTTGATCATGGTAGCAGATGCACATTTTGTTTCTAAGACTATAACTTCAGACAGTTTTAAAAAACTTTGGATAAATTTCCATTTCTGAGAAAAATGTGTACCAAGCAAGCAGATAGACTGACAAGCTACAAGCCAACAGTAGAGTCTTTGCAGATGCAAATTACAGATACACTATGTACCAAAAAACAAATAAAATTGAGGTGAGGTATCCTACATTAATTCTGTAGTTTTTCCTTATCTTCCTAATGTCAATACATCTATTAATTTTGTGTCAATATATAACATCCTACCTCCCCCCTCAAAAAAAATTTATTTATCTCTTTTGCTCTAGAAAACTTGAAGAAAAGAATTTTGTGATTAGTATCTTCAATTTTTTTACACTGTGCTGGCTCATCAAGTTTGTGATATGTAAAGAATTATTTGAACATTTCTATTGGCTGTTTTTGGAATGACTTTCAGAATATATCTTATTTGAGAAGTCAAGAGGACGCTCATCTTTCATTAAATGTTTAGTTCATCAGGAAGTCTGAAAGTTGGGCTTGCTCTTACTTCTCTAGTAGCGTGAAACTTTTTACACTTACAAATGTATAACTGAAAAGATATTCTAAGAAACTTTTTAGCAAACATAGAAGTTGCTTCCCTTTCTTTAAGCCATAAAAGTTTGATACAGTCTCCAGTGAAGTTAATCACTTATGTAATCAGTATAAATCAGTTCATAGTGACTCTCTATGTAGCTACACACTTTATATACGTTTCCTGTAATACAGAACACCACACATCTTTCCATACTTCTGTCTGATAATTACACTGATGAAAACGTGAAGTGGGTTGTCCATTACAGAAAATTTGTTGCAAGCTCATGGCTATTCAAAATAGTCCCTTCCAAACAAACACAAGACAACACCCTGCTACCAGCTTCTTGACATTGTGAAAAAAAACGGTTTCTCAGTGTAATATCTGCTGCTATTACTCTGCTCTGTCCATCTATAATTTATCACAAGCCCCTCAAGCCATGTACATTCCTCATGGAGTCTCCAGCAAGAGGTGAATCTGAGATGTAGATTTGATTCTGGTGAGATGTGTTGCCATGCATTTTTCTTTCATGAATATGTTGGAAAAGCACTGTGGATTTTACTCTCCCTCCCTTTATTTTTTTTTTCCTGTTTTGGTCTTAGTAGAAATAAATGAGCTCCAGGTGATGGTCTCACTGGACATACTGCATAAAATTCTAGGTATAGCTCTACCGTGGTTTGACCCTGGCCAGATGCAAAGGGCCTATTAAAAACACTCCACTACCCTCCATCCTCCCCTCTGCAGCTGGGCAGAGGAGAGAGGAAGAAAAAAAACAGCAAAGGAATTTCATGAGTAGAGATAAGGATTGAGAGAAGGCAGGCAAGACAAACTCAGAGTGAGGATAAAACTTAAATTTATTACTAACAGAATAAGAGCTAAAGAGTGAGAAATAAAACAATCTTAAACACACTTTCCAACCACCCCTCCTTCCTTCCATGTTCTCCTTCCTTCCCCTGCATCAGAAAGTCTACCCATAGGCCAACAGGTCTTCCAAGTCTGCTGCACCTGTGAGTCACCCTTCCATGGGCTGCAGGGAGCAGCCTGCTCCACCATGGTCTTCACCACAGACTACAGGGGAGGCCTAAAGCTCTGAGTCCTTTCCCTGCCCTGTGGGGTCCTTCCCACAGGAGACAGTCCTTGATGAACCTCTCCAGCGTGAGTCCATCCACCCTTCGGGCAACAGTTCTTTTCAATCTGTTGCCCCATGGACGACTTCCCCAAGAGGGTGCAGTCCTTCACGGGTTGAGCTGCACCGACGTGGGTCTCCCACAGGGGCCACAAGTCCACCCAGAAAAAACTGCTCTGGCATGGGCTTCCCTCTCCATGGGCCACAGGTCTCCAGCAGGACTTCGCTCCATTTTGGGCCTCCCACAGGGAGTCACAGCCTCCTTCATGTATCTTCCTGCTCCAACATGGACTCCTCCATAGGCTGCAGGAGGGTTTCTGCACTCCAATGGTTCTTTATGGGTTGCAGGGGCTTCGGCTCTATGTCTTTGCTCTGCTTCTGGGGGGGGGGAGGCCCCCCTCTGATAAATATGCCACATCCCATTTAAATAGGTGTGTAGAAAGTCACATTGATCTTCCATGAAATCAGTTCATATTCCTACTATGCCTGCCAGATTACCTAAACTGTGGAGAACTGGTACACTTTGGACTCTTTTACTATCATCCTCCTCACAGAACACACATCAATTAAGACAGTAGTTTTTTCCAATGCCAACATAACAGAATAGTACATTGCATTTGTACTTTTACTCATTCTACAGAACATCACAGGATGGTTTTTTTTAGAAAATGTAACAGCACAAAATATTGAGTGTGTATCAACCACTAGAGCATGTAAGTTGTGGGACCTATGATTCCTTATCATCACAAACAATGAAGAGGAGAGAGAGGATTTATTCACTGAAGTGAATATCAAGTTGCTAGTATGTGGGAATTACAGACATTGGTATTTTAATGGAATCATAGAATGATTTGGGTTGGAAGTGAATATGTGAAAGATCATCTAGTTACAACTCCCCTGACATGAGCGGGGACATCTTCCACTACAGCAGGTTGCTCAAAGCCCTGTCCAACTTGGCCTTGAACACTTCAAGGTATAGGACATCCATCACTTCTCCGGGCAGGCTGTTGCAGTGCCTTACCACTGTCACAGTAAAGAATTTCTTTCTAATATCTGATCTAAACCTAGATCTAAACCCTCCTGCATCATAAGGCCACCCCCCTAGACCTATCACTCCATGCTCCTGTGAAAAGTCCCTCTCCAGCTCTCTTGTAGGCCTCCTT